TCATCAAGGAGGCTTCCAGGCCCCCCCCCGCCTTTTCAGGAAAGCCCCTCCTCGGTCCCCCACTGCGGCTGCGGGACCAGCCCCCACCCCCACTCCCAGCCTCAGCCCAGCCCTGACAGATTAATCGATCAATCGGGTAAAGGCCCAGTGCTCCCCTCGGATCCTCAGGCATTTCCAGTTACAACTCATCCACAGTCAAGGTGCTGATCTCAGCCCCCCCCCCAGGCGGCCTCACTTCCTTTCCCTTTCAGCTGCCTCGGGGCTCCCCAGGCAGCCGGAGGGGTGACGAAGAGGTCAGGAGGGGGCCGAGCCTGAACCCTGCTGAGAGGGGGTGAGCAGCCCCCCAGCCACAGTGGGGTTCAGGTGAAACCAACGGTACACGTGCATGCAGGGATGGGGCAGGGATAGGGCAGGGGGGATGGGGGCAGGGGGATGGGTCAGGCAGGGATGGGTGCCTGGCCCAGAAGCCTCAGGGAGGGTGAACCCGTTCTCCTGCAGCCCCTTCCTGGGGAACAGCCAGATGCTGCATCGGGGTCCCTGCTGTGGCACCTCTGGGGGAGACACTGGTATTTATGAGGGTGAACACAGCCATGGGGAGGTCAGAGGCCGTGGGCTGAAGACCGCTTCCTGCGCAGTGACCCTGGGCAGGTCACTGAGTCCCTCTGTCCTCAGCGGCCTCCTCTGAGCCGGTCGCTTACAGCTAAAAGCCCTCGCAGAGCTGTCTAGCAGCACGGTGACCGCAGTGCCCCATCGCTCGCACCCGGCACCGGGCCCTGTTAGCAAGACTCCTTGGCAATGAGTCGCTGGAGGCCATGCAGCGCGAGCAGAGCCGAGTCCACTCGGACTGGCTGAGGCCGGAGGCCCAGCGCCCACCCTCCCCCCTCCCCCCGCAGGCTGACTCACAGGCAAACCAGCTCCCACCGCCTGACCCGCAGCCCTCCTCCGGCAGGCTCGCATTTCTGCGCAGGGAGTGGACACCTATTGCTTTTTGCCTCCCAGCAACCCTTCCCTTTCATCCTGGAAACAGCATTTCTTTCCCAGCCTGTGCGGTATTTCTGTTGAGAAAGAAGATTTCTCTCAGGTGAGGTGGTTATGCTGCTAGAATGTGGGCCTGGAGCTACTGGGAAGATTCTCGCCACCCCTACCACACCCCCATCGTGCGCCTACGAAGGCAGAGCTGAGAACCAGAGGGCAACAGATCCCTAACACTATCGCTTGGGCACCTGGATACAGCCATGCCTGAAGCCGCCCCCTGCCTGTCTTTCCCCCTCTCGCTGATTCAAATCCCATTTCTGGCCCTTGCAACCAAGAGTACCTGGTTGACTAATGCAAGGCTCGTGTACCTTAGACCAGACCAGACTGACTCAACAGTATAGAGACGGAAGAGGAAAAGGGCAAAACAAACAAATAAAAAACTTTCTCTTTCTTGCGCTTTCATCTTCTGGAGACGGTGCCTCGGTTAATGGTTGCTGAATGAGTGTGCAAACACGTTCAGGGGAGCCCTGCCCATGGCCACTTACTAATAACCTGGTTACCTGCGTAAACACTAGGGTGCTTTGTGCCAACCAGAGCTGTCCACGTGAAACCTGTGTCAGTGCCACGAAAATACGCCCCGGGCCGTTTCCGGCGGCCCCGCGAGAACTTGCCAGCGCTGTGAACGCCCAGCAAGGCTGCGTGTCTGTCTCGGCGGCGCTGGGGACGTGTGCTGGCCGCTGCCTCCTGCAGAGCGGGAGCCATTCGGCAAATATTTACCGCCGGCTTCCGGGTGCCACTCTCTTGGGGTGTCTGAACCAGGGCCGGCAAGCCTCGCAGGTCCATCCCACCACGTCCCAGATAGCTAGCATTCCAGCGGACGGGACGCGCGCCCCCGCCCGCCCTTCCCAGGGCTGCGGACCCTGCCCTGGCAGCCCGGGGTCCGACCCCAGCGCCGGCTTCGGTCCCCTGAGGCCTCAGGAGCCCATCTGTTGGGATGTCGAGTCACTGAGTCATAAAGAGGAATGTCTCCCACTGAACATCGCACCAAAGCTGCTAGACTTGCAGCTCAGCCGGCGGTGACCCGGCTGCCCCGGGAGGGGGAGGCGTGGGAGGCGGGAGCTGCTCTGTGCAGACGGTCACCCCACCATGACCTCACCTGCCAAGTGGGTGACTCACTCCCTCTGGCCCTCCCGCCCGCCCGATCTTGCTCATGTGGAATACCTGAGGGGAATGCCAGCCTGCGCCCTCAGTGAAGGAAAGCTGGCGATGAGCTATTTTTAAAGCCTGACGCTTTCTTGCTTTCGGTGGGAGGCGGCACCCCTGATGTGGGGCTCAGGGTAAAGCTGCTCCCGCCAATCAACCCGGGAAAATCCCCCAGGAGCAGGAAACGCTGAATGAGAAGGGAGCGAGCTAAGGCCGTGTTCTCTTTATTTACTTTTTAATATATTTTTAAGTATATTCTTATTGATTTCAGAGAGAAAGGGAGAGGGGGAGAGAGAGAAGCATCCACGATGAGAGAGAATCATGGGTCGGCTGCCTCCTGCACGCCCCCCACTGGGAATGGACCCCCGCAACCCGGGCCTGTGCCCTGACCGGGAATGGAACCGTGACCTCCTGGTTCATAGGTCGACGCTCAACCACTGAGCCACGCCGGCCGGGCTCTGTTTATTTTTTTAAACTTTTCTCATTTTGGTGAAATACACAATTAAATGTGTCATGTCCACCATCACTGAGTGTACCATGCAAAGGCTCGAGGGTAGTCACAGTGAGGCACCACCACCACCTACAAACAGGACCACCACCCCCTCCAGACCTTGTTCACCACCCCGAGCAAGAAAC